GAATTTAAACAAGGAACACCCAGTGGTGTAAAGGAACTAAATATTGTTAAAGTCGACCAATTTCATAGTATGGATGATAAAGATCCTATTAAGTGGGTAGCTATGTTTGAAAAAGCGGCATTAGCTAATAACTAGAAAGATAAAAGAAAAATTAAAATCGCCTCCGGTTATCTATTTGGAAACGCATCCTTTTGGTATAATGACGTTAAAGACAAAATCACTAGCTAGTCCGCAACCGAAGACACCTCCTTTGTAGCTTTGTTTAAGGGGTCCTAGACAAAAAAAATAAGTGGCACAGTAAATTGTATAACATTGAACAAGGACAAGTTGAACACATCTCTGAGTATGTTGCTAAGTTTAAGCGACTTAGGAAGAAAGTTGACTCTGAATACAAGTTACCAGATGACTATGTCATTTGGTTATTCATATCTGGGTTAAGACAAGAAATCGCCATATACATCACGATAAAAGACTCACAGACCCTAAAAGAAGCCATTGAAGTTGCTGAGCAAGTAGGAGTGGGAAAGTTCTACATAAGAAGCAAAGTAGATAAAGGAAAGACCCCTACAAGAAAGTTAGAGGATGATGTGGATCTACTAGTGCAGAAGATGTAGCAGATGTCGCTCAACTACACCTTTCTTACCTCTACTCTTGCGTTTCCAGACAATAATACTAGGTACTCCCACCAACTCAGGCACAACTCACATACTGAAAGTTTTAAAACCCGGTGATACTATGTCTGTGGTGAACACGGTTACCTAGCATGTAACTGCTTGGCCGAGCATCCTAACCAAAATAGCCATAGTAGACTTAATAGGCCTGAGAATAGAAGAGTAAATATGGCCTAGGTTAATAATTATAATAAACATTTATTTAGCAAAAAACAGGTGTATAGTGGGACTATGGACTACTACAAACCATCTAATACTAACCATAAAGCCCATAAGGAGAAGAGATTAGAGCCTCAAGAAGAGTATAATTTGAGGAAACACATTAAGCTTAGCTCTATGCAAGTGGATGAAGAAGTCATTGAACCAGTACCTACAGTAAAGAAACTAAAAATTAAGAGGCAGCCTTTAGTAATTGATTGAGTCAAGCCCTATAATATCTCCAAAGATATCCTAAGGCTTTTGTCCAGTGCTACCCTAAGTCAAATGCTACAGTATTCTAATCAAATTACAGCGGTACAAATATTTTTACCAGCTGGATTTTCAAATGTACTTGGTAGCTCATAGCCGCTCCATAATTCTAGAAGCTTATCCACGACAGGTGCTAAGTAATGATTAATTTTGTATGTTTGCACCTCTTTTGGACCAGGTAAGAGTGCAAAAACTATAATATTATGTGGCTTAAAATGTTCCTCTCTTGGTAAGTTACATATTGCTCCATACAAAGCACCAACACTATATGTTGAGTTTTCAAAAGGCTGAAACCAATCTAGGTTTAACATAATACCTAGATGGTTATTAGCATTCTCATAGTCAAAGAAAGGTTTTTGATTATTACTATCTTTGAACTCCTTCCAAACATGGCCATCGTATATATCTGCAAGAATGGTATCATCAATATATCAATTTGACCATTTTCATAATGATTTTTCAAACCCTTTATGATTATACATCAATTTTAATTGATCCTTTATCCTTATAGTTGGAAACCCCATTTTTGCCCGATATATTAATCTTTCTTTAATTGGAATCTTTTTGGCCAATAAATTTCCACAATTTTTTCTCATTTTTGACATAGAATGTGAGGGATATTCAATATGTTCACATTCTATGTATGTTGAAATTTGTTCTGGAGTTTTGGTAGTAACATCTTCTGGATTATATAGTTTGTGGCATAATGTACGGGCTGCATATTTTTTAATGTGAAGACATATTCCTAATGACTTTCGTGCCAAATTAATTGATGGTAGAAAAAATTCAAATTGATTATCAATGGAAATTAAAAGATATCTAATGTCGCAGCTAATGCTAAAAACGGCTGATGCTGAAATTTGGGGTCTCTATTTAAATCTATAATACCTACTAAAATCCATATATGCTTTTTTATTAATAAAACTACTCTACTAACCCTAACCTAACTATGAAAAAAAAGTGTAAAAAAAAGGCGCAAAAATTTTTTATAATTTTATAATAACATATGAAAAATTTTCAGCATCAGCCGTTTTTAGCATCAGCTACGACATCTAATAAACTTAAATAAACTATTTGTGGCAGTTTCAGAATGCCAATAGTTTTGCTAGTAGTGAAGAATTCAAATAACTATCTATTTAAATTTTTTTTTTAAATAATTTGTTGTTGTTTTAGTTAAATTATAGTTAGAAATATGAGGCGCCGCAAACATATTATTGCTTTCAAAAATATTTTGATCTTTGCCTTCCTCATTATCTGAAATACCAAATAGTTCTATTTCCTCTTTATAATCGTAATCGAATGATTCTTTTCTCTTCATCACTTGAAGCGTTATTAAATTTTTTATTAAATTCTTCAATAAACAAACCAATATCTTTGCTGAAAATTTCCTTCACTTTGCGAATTTTAGACGTTAAATGACTTTTTGCTTTATCATTTTTCTTCTTTACAAGAAAAGAAGATTTAGGTGGAATATCAAAAAGATCTATTTTGACATCTTCTATTGTGTTATTATCAGGTAATTGTTCCAACAATCCTAATAGAGTTTGGGACATCGACGATGCAAGATCTGACGTTGATGTAGTGGGTTGATAAATTCTATATTTTTCTAAATAATTATTTTTAGTTCTTGGATCTACTTCCTTCTTTCCTTTATATTTTTTACAAGGGTATATGACAGATTTTCGTGTTCTAGGAGTATCTTCACACTCCATAGTAAATCTTTTTTATTAAAAAAAACCAGATAAGTTGTAGATTGATATTGAGTTTTATTACTAATAAATATTTGGTACCAAGACTTGTATACCATAATTATAACACAGTAAATCCATATTGTTATTGGAGCATCATCCGCATATTATATATTAATTGTACGTATCATCAATTTAATGCTATAAACGTAATAGATAACAGTTAATTTATGCACAATTGTCTTAAATGGCCATTTGATATGATTTAAAATAAAATTTATTTGCCTGATTATAAATTTTGTGGTGCAGGAATCATAAAGAATTGTTTCAATTTAAAAAATTGAAATTGTTACAGTACTACCGATTAAATACATATAATTTCTATTCAATTTAATTATGTTATATAAAAGATGCTCGGAGTTTAATTTAACTACATAGTAATTATTGAATAGAAATTTTTTTTGGTCAACTATTCACGATTGTCATGTGAACAGATTATTTTATTAAATTACGATTTATTTTAATATAAAGGTTTTGCACTTAAAAATTAATCACTTTCATTTTAAAACACTTTTATTCTTCTAATTCAAACTTCAAACTTCTTTGAGATTTTTTTTATTTGAGAAAATTAGACACTTTTAGTCTTTATCGATCCTTTTTAATTTAGGGAATAGTTTCTTTTTTATAATTTATTTATATCTTATATCTTAATTTTCAAGAAAGCTGATAATATTAATATCTTTAACTATATTTATTACTTTAACATTTTATTATAGGTTCTATGACAACGTCAAAAACTCTAAAAACTTTCACTATTACCTAAGCCTTTTTTATATCAACATCGACTAAAAGTGAAATACTCTATCGAATTTAAGGCATATAGAGACAAAATATTCAGGCAATTAAGAAACGATACTATCTATATCAAAAGGTTTCAATGCATATTTTAAACAAAAGACACATGAAAGTTTAATGATCTTTATACAAAGGTCTCCCTTAACTTTAAATAAATTGATACAAAAAAAATCTTCATGTTGTTAGAATTACGAATTTGCTCAAATACGTCTATGCTTATTTATGAACCTGCTTGTTAACAGCATATGTGTCAGCTAATCATGTCGTTGTTAAAATGACCCTGATTAATCTTTGATATTATACAATCATAGCTATGATCACAACATAAACATATTATTTAAAGGTAAATTCAATTAATTTAAATAACCATCCTCTTAAAACAACAAAAATTTATTATAAATTAAATATTATAACCTAAGTTAAAATGAAAAATTCAAAATCTGATAGTTTGGATTGGTCAAAACCTCATAAGGAAAAAAGAAGAAATGACAGTCATGAAGTTCGTTATACAAACAAAAAACAAAAGAAAGGTTCAATAAATGTTTATTTGTATGTACATATAACAAACAAATATGCATAAAACTCACTATGTATTATCGATTTTTTTCTTTTTTATACGTATAACTAGATAGCAAGTTAGAAAAGGATATTAATGAAATTAAGAAGGTCCTCAAGAGATTATCAAAAAGTGATGTGAGTAAAGACAACGCAGTTTCTGAGTCACTAGGCCGATCAACCAAGGTTATAAAAGAAAAGCCCAAAAATAGAAATGAACTCCAGCCTATGTCTAAACAAAAATTAATAGTAATATTATATATATTATATACAAAAAATGTTTGGTTTTTTTATTTTTTTTTTGGAAAAAATTTTTTTAGAGTGAAATTGATGTGATAATCTCCGGGTTTGATGAATCCGAGGCTTCAAATCTAGAAAAAACATGGATTTTACAAAAAAGAACATTTGTTAGAAATGTTCTTCCTAAACTTATGAAGGCACTTAAAGTTCAGTTTGAATACACCAACTCAGAAGTTCTAAAGATTATACAAAAAAACATAAACATCAGCGAGAACATGATAATGATAAAAGAGATGTTGGCAAAATTACCAAAAAATGATCACGACATTATATTAACCAAAGAAGACAAGTGGTTTGCATCATATGACTTTCTATTTAAATATTTATTTGTATTTGATTAAACATTCTTTATTTACATAAATAGAAAAAGAATCGTCGTCACATTGGTTTTAAACATTTGATCAAAACCAAGAATGCTTTTTGGAAAAAGCACTTTACTCCAGTGTTGTACATGGGACAATTTTGGACAATTTTGGACATTTTTTCAAATTGAAATTACTCAAAATTTTATTAAGATAATTTTTTCACCAATGAGTCCAGCACTTAAATATATAATTATATATTTTTTTTAATTACTTTATTGATTAGTTAATCATGGGACATAGGCTTGGATGATTTTGGACAATCTTGGATGTTAGACATTTTACATAGTGTGGACACGTCCCATGTACAACACTGCTTCAATCCACATGAATGGGCTGGGGCATTACGTGATATCGAGGCTATTTTAGATGATACAGCATACCATTCTGATGAAATCTCAAAAATGGATGAAGAACTGTATCAAGAAAAAATAAAGCAAGGAATCCGAGACAAAAAAGAAGACAAAAAACACTATATAGTTAAAGTGTTAGATCTTCCATGGCGATCTAATAAAGTATGTGAATTTATATGCTGAAATTGTATATATTCTAATAAATCTTTTTTTTATTTAATTAAAAAAACTTCTTCATTATATTCCAACAAATTTTTTTTTTTATATAGTTAAAAAAACTTTTTCATTATGCGGAAAAAACTGCAAAAAACAAATCAGCGAAAAAAGAGGAATGTTATCATTAGCAAAATAAAATTTATACTGATCCAAATCGTGTACCTCCTGTAGACTGTCCAGATTGGTATAAATCAATTCTTTACAATAATAATAATAATAAAAGTAATGGTGAGTGTAACAAAAGTGATAACGAAGATATCGATAAAAGTGACAATGACAACAATGATAAATAGTAGTAGTAGCAAAAAGGATGATGATGACGAAGAGGATAGTGATGCCAAAGAAGATAGTGATGATGAAAAGGATAGTGATGATAAAGAGAATAGCGATTATGAAAATAACAGTGATGATGAAGAAAGCAGCAACAATGATAAAGGTAGCAATGACAAATAATCTTGAACTATTAGGTGATCTATATGAACTTAGAGTTAACATAAACACAAGCTTATTTGGTTTTGTTTTTTAGAGAATACTAGAATAACAATTAAATAAAAAAGCCGAATATCAAAAAATACTCTCTTGAGCAAAAAATGAGACTTATCAAACTTGTACACAATTAGGCCTTAATATTCCGGTTGCTGTAAGAGATAAAATCGACCAAATATAACTTGTGTAGTATTTGTATTTTCTTTTTTTTTATATTTTTACAATTTCACGATCACATTTGCTTCTTTGCATATTTAATTACCATAGCGCATTATCCTTTTTTATCCTGTATATAGAGCAACTATTGCATATGCGACATATGTACTATTTTTATTACTATATAAATATTTCAGATACATATGTATACATACGAATATATTAAAATTATAAATATATATATAGATAGTAATTAATAAAATAGTTAAATATCAGGCATAAATTATAAATTATTAATTTAAGGGTAGGGTGAACATAGATCATTTCTTATATAAGTAGATCAACCAAAAAAATATTATACAAAAATCAAACACATGTTACATATAAAA